CGCCACTGCCTCCACTGCTGCCGCCGCCACTGCCTCCACTGCCGCCGCCACTGCCGCTGCCACTGCCGTTGCTGCCACTGTTGCCGCTGCCACTGCCACCGCCACCGTTGCCGCTGTTTCCCTGAGGGACCAAAGCAGGACTAAAGAAGAGAACACGACGACTGCTTTGCCCTGTCCCCTTCCCCTCTCTCCAGGCGCGTCCCTGCCCAGCCCTAGGGGGCAGATCTGTCTGCTCCCAGTGCCAGGCGCCTCGGGTGGCCCATGGTCTTACCCAAGAGCTGCTGTAGCTTCCACCAGAGCCAGAGGGGGGCGGGTTGGTGCACTGCAGAGGAAAGGGGCCGGCGAGCGTTGAGAGGGCAGCTGGGCCATCGCCACCGGGGCTCTCCTCAGGGCTGGGCTCTCTTTCCCAGGCCTCCCGCGTCCCCACGTCATTCACATCCTGCTCTCCCTGGCCTCCTCCCCCGCCCCTCTCTTCCTGGCCAAGCGTCCCCTTAAGCCCTGCCTCCCCAACTCGGTCCCTCTTTGTCTCTCCTACTTTCAGTCACATGCACCCTGCACCCCGACACCCTCTTCTTCCCCGGCTGTCCTCTTACCTCGACATTTGGGTTGCCATTGCCCCTCACTGAGCCATAACCGGGTTGGGCCACAGCTCCCTGCAGGGAGGGTGAGACTGAGTATGGGGCCGAAGGATAGGGGAGGCGTGGAGAGTGTGGCTGGAGGGGAGGGAGGTCGCAGGATCAGGGCTGGGCAGCTTCCTTTACCTGAGCGTTGGTCCCCGGGTTGTATGGCCCTCCACTGCCTCCTTGGCCCCAGGAGCTCCCCTGAGAGTTGGTCCCAAAGCTGCCGCCTGGGCCTCCAGGGTATCCATGGTTCCAGGGAGTCCCCAGACCTTCAGGATTGCCCTGGATGTGGGCTCCGTGGCCACCCTGAGAAACAAAGACGCCGTGGCCTCCAGATGGAGGCTGCCCATTGGTTCCCTGCAAAGATAACATGCGTGCACTTAGTGTGCGTGACCTTATCACCCTGTGATGAGGCAGGGTGGGCAGAGCAACTAAGACAGAGAAGAGCCAGAGCAGGGCATGGGGGAGGCAGGAGAGACCCCAAGGTGGCAGAGGAAGGGTGCATAACATGGAAGGACACCGCCCCAGACAGCCACAAATAAGAGACTCCATCCCTTCAACTGATTCCCAAGATTCTCAGCCCAGCTGCCCGCAGTCTCCCATCCCCACTCCCAGCTTCCTTCCAGCCACTCACCCAAGCACCGTTGCTGCCAGGCATCCCCTGCCAGGAGCTGTGCGCACCATCTATTCCATGTCGAATAATATTCTCAGCCTGTCTGCCAGCCTCACTCCCAGTGTTTCCAAGAGCATGAGCTGCTTCCTCAGCCCCCCGGTGGATGGCCTCCCCAACCCTATGGTCGAAGGCATCACCCATCCCCGGGCCCATGGCCTCCCTGATTCCAGGGTTGCCCGCCTCTCTGGCCCCTTGGCTGATGGCCTTGTCGATTCCGTGACTAATGGCATCTCCCACCCCGCGTCCAATGGCTTCTCCAATATCTGCCGCAGCGCCTGCCCCTCCGTTTAGCAATGGGCCAGCCTCCCCACCGGCCAGGTACAGGGCCAGTAGGAGGCAGGCCAGGGCCCCCTGGAACTTCATCTCTGCCTGGCTCCTCCTCTCCCCTGAGTGTCTCCCCCCCCCAAGCCTCCTCCTGGCCCTTTCTCTTCCTCTGAGGCTGTGCCCCCTCCGATCTCTTCTTCCTTCTGACTTCTCCTTTTCCCTCCTTCTAGGTCTGCAGCCTTCTCTCTCCTTTCCCAGACTCCCCTGCCTTCCCAGGGTTCTCCTCCCTGTCACTACTCCTTATACTGTAGCTTGGGAGAAGGTGACAGGGCTGGGCGGCCTGGAGTCCCTCCTCCCAGTGACTCAGGGCCAGCCAGCGATAGGGTAATGAGCTGTAATTGTGTCTGAGAGTCTGTGTTGAAACAGAGAGGGCCCATGCATCAGGGAGGGAGGCAGAAATGGAATGAGATGGCTGCAAAAGTGTCCCAGTTACCCAACCCCAGGAATTTGGGGCGCAGGGTGGGGATGGGGGCATCTGAGGAGATTGTCTGTTGGTGTCTCCTAGAGGTGGTAGGTGGAGGGGAACCACCGGCCGGGCCCCACCAGTGGGGCAAGGTGGGGAACTCAGAGGAACAGGACCCAGCCTAGGTGTAAGCCAGCCAAGATAGGGGGCATCGGAATGGCAGTCAGGTGCCTGTCCTTGGCCCTTCGCTGAGTTTCAGTTGGCCCTGGCCGCTCCCATCTCTCTGCTCTCCCATGCTGCCACCTAAAGGTGACTGCCCTCACCCCCCTCCACAGAGGGCCAGGGAGCTATGAGACTGGCCTCGGGTCTCAGTAGGGACCCCAGGCTTCCAGGAAGGAAGTGGCCACGACCCTGAGGGTGGTCATCAGGGTGTCTCAGTTAGCATCCTGGTGGCTCTTGGCTGAGAAAGCTGGGTGTGGAGCAGGGGAGCTGGGCGGGCCGGCCACCCCCAGGGAATGAGTGGGAGGGAAAGACCTTGGGAGGGAGCCGCTGACCCAGGCACCCATCCTGTTTACCTGTCATGGAAGGGACATGAGTGTGAGTTCATGGCCTCCTGGGAGAGCTAGGGCTGCACCAGCTCACCCCACCCGCCCCCTAACCTCCCCCAGGGGCCAGGATGGCATTAGCAAGGGAGAAGGGGTGAGCACAAGGGTAGGAGTCTTGGGTCAGCAGCATGACGCTCTCTGCTCTCCAGGGTCCCAGCTCAGGATGCAGGACTCGGGCATCCTCCCCAGGTCCCATCCCTGTTTAGCAAGCATGGCTGCCTCTGTCCTCCCAGGAGCCCCAGCCCTCCCGCTTGCCCCTGTCTCGTATCATCAGGATTCATCGCCCAGCTAGGAGGGGCCAGTTTCCATGTGCCTTTCTCAACGCCTCACAGTCAGTCTCTCTCTCCACCCCAGCACCCACACCCCAACCTGTAACATTCAACACCTCTTACGGTGTAAAAACAATCCCTGTCTGTCCTCAGCAGCTCCTGCCTCCCTGTTATCCCATCTCTGGCTCTTTAATGATGATAATAAACGGTGGTGGTAATAACAATAGTGATGATGGCAGCTCCAGTCTGCCAGGGGCTTTCTATGTGTCCAGCCCTGGACTAAGCACCTTAAGGCTCAGACAACCCTGGAGGTCGGTCTTACTGTTACCCCATTTAGAGATGGAGAACTTGGGGTTCCGAGAGGACATGTGAATGTGTGGTAGGGCCAAAGCCCAAGCCCAGCCCACCCCAACCCCCAACGTTTTCTGTCACCTCTGTGTCTCAGGCCTCCTCCTGCTTTTCAAAGCCCCCCGATCGACTCAGGTTGGGTTTTGCCCTGGCACCTTGTGGGGGGTGGGGAGCAGCAGTAAACTGAGGCTCCAGGCTTGGGGATGGAGACTGCCGCCTCCCACCTCCACAGGACAGCGCCCACTGACTCAGACTCCTGCCCACAGCTTCCTTGTGGGACGCCACCTTCACAACAGCACACACATGCCCTCTCCCTTCTCTATGACTCTGTTTTTCTTTAAGCTGGCTAACTTTCTTAACATATTTTAAGAGAATATTTTATATTGCTGCTGGAAGTGGAAAGCCAGAATCACTTGCCCACAGATAGAAAGTACCAGAAAAACATAGTGAGAAGCAAACAGTGGTATTCATTATAGATGTCTGCAGTTCCTCCATCCTCTTTGTGAGAAAGGGAGGTTGGCAAGTGTGAGCGAGCTGTTTAAGGCACACGGGCACAGAAATCGAGTCGTCCCCTTTATCATAATCAGAAAGCTTCAAAGACAATGGAGAAGTTTCTCACTGGTGGCTCAGGGTGATCACAGACCACCTACATTTCCCCTGCCACCCACAGGCTCATGTTCTACCTCTGAGAAAAACTGCCCCCAGACATCTCTGGACTTGAGGGGTCACCTCAAAGCAGCCGTAAGGCATAGTTCTTTTACACCCAACTGACAGGAGCCAGGGTGCTTTCCCGTGCACGGTCTCATTTAGCCCTCACTGTAACCTCACGAGGGAGATATTGTTCCCATTTTACAGTTGAGGTAACTGAGGCCTAGCGTGTAAACACATACACAGGACCACATGTGAAAAGACTATGGTAAAATGGAGTTGGCAGGATTTGACCAAAGGCTAGCTGACTCCAGCTTTTTCCCTATGTCACCATGCATCCCTTGTTTTGCACCCACAAATGCACCCACAAATCTGACATACCCACGTCATGTCTAAGACCCTCGGATTTCAGCTTTTCTCCCATTCACTACTTTATTCATTCAACAAATATTTATTGAGTGCCTACCCTGTGCCACGCCTATTCCAGGCACAGGGGATACCACATGAAACAAGATCATCAAAATCTCCTTCCTTAGGGAGCTCACATTCACTGTGGGGGCAGTTGGACAATAAACATGTCGGGCAGTGCTGAGCACTATAAAGAAAAACCCCGGGTTGCGGGCTCGATCCCCAGTCGGGGGCATGCAGGAGGCAGCCGATCAATGACTCTCTCATCATTGATGTCTCTATCTCTCTGAAATCAATAAAGATACATATTTTTAAAAATAATAAAATTTTAAAAAGAAAAACCCAGTAGAGTGAGGGAACAGAGAAGACAGAGTGGGTGTTTTAAATAGAGTAGTCAGGAAAGGGCTCTTTGACATGTGACCTATGAACTGAGACCCAAAGGAAGTGAGAGACTGAGCCCTGAGGCTATCTGGGGATAGCAAAGGCTCAGAGGCTGGAGCAGGGGGAGATGGGAGGAGTTGAAAACAAAGAGGTAACCATTTTTTTAATTAAATTTATTGGGGTGACATTGGTTAATAGGGTCATATAGGTTTCAAGGGTACATTTCTATGATACATCATCTGTATATTGCATTGTGTGCCCAATACCCAAAGTCAAACCATCTTCTGTCACCATATATTTGACCCCCTTTAGCCTTTACCACTCCCACCCTCTTCCCTCTGGTAACCACCATACTGGTGTCTGTGTCTATGAGTTTCAGTTTTATCTCCCACACATGAGTGAAATCATATGGTTCTTAGCTTTTTCTGACTGACTTATTTTGCTTAGCATGACATTCTCAAGGTCCATCCATGTTGTCACAAACGTTAGTATTTCATCTTTTGTATGGCTGAGTAGTATTCCACTGTGCATGTGTCCCACATCTTCTTTACCCAGTCCTCTATCGAAGGACACTTTAGTGTTTCCATGTCTTGGCCACCGTGAATGATGCTGCAATGAACATAGGGGTGCATATATTTTGCAAATAAATGTTTTTGAGCTTTTCGGGTTGATACCCAGAGGAGGGATTACTGGGTCATATGGTAACTCTATTCTTAATTTTTTGAGGAACGGCCATACTGGTTTCCATAGTGGCTGTACCAGTCTCCATTCCCAGCAGCAGTGAATGAGGGCTCCTTTCTCCCACAGCCTCTCCAACACTTGTTATTACTTGTCTCATTGATAATAGCCACTCTAACAGGTGTGAGGTGGTATCTCATAGTAGTTTTGATTTGCATTTTCCTAATAGCTTGTGAAACTGAACATCTTTTCATATATCTGTTGGTCATTTGTACGTCTTCTTGGGAGAGGTGTCTGTTCAGGTCCTCTGCTCATTTTTTAATTGGATTGCTTGTTTGTTTGGTGTTGAGTTGTATGAGTTCTTCATATATTTTGTAAAGAGGTAACCATTATGAAGACTTTGACTTTTACTCTGAATGAGGTGGAACCAGCCGAGGGCTTAGATCTGAGGAAGGCTGTGATCTGACTTGGTTCTTACCAGGGTTCCCCTGGGGAACAGGCTGTTGTGGGGAGAGGGGAGCACAGAGACAGGGAGGAGGCTTGGTGGGGGGTGGGTATGGAAGTTAGACTCAAGTGTAGAGAGGTGATGGGGCCTTGGGTCTGGGCAGTGTCTCTGCTCCCTCCCATGGGGTCCTGGGCCTCAAACTAGCATCTACTGGCTCACCCCTTCCACAGTGCCTGTCCTGGAGTCTAGGCTGAAATCCTAGCTCACCACTAACTAGCCATGTACTAATCCATCTGTACGGCAGTTTCCTTATCTGTAAGAGGGGTGAATGTGAGGGTTAAATGAGGTAATAATGCAAAGAGCTTAGAGCAGTGCCTGGCGCACAGGAGCACTCGATGTGTGTTCTTGCTAGTGTTGGGCATGTTAATGCTGTTGGAATGCTTTCTCGGCAGTCGTTTCACTTTGAGGCATACACAGGCACCTCCTGAAAGGGCCAAATGTAGAAACGTATTTTTAAAGAGGACTTACTTTGAAGCAGCCTGCTCCCCACGGGTCCCAGGGAAGCATGTCACCTCACTAGCAGAGATCACCAGCAGGGAAGTGGTCTTCGATATAGAGCCCGGCTGTCACCACTTACTACTAGCTGGGTGGCCTCAGGCAACTCGCTCCCTTCCCTGAACCTCAACTTTATCATCTGTAAGAGGGGTAATCAGGTACTTGCCTCATGGGGAGGTTGTGAGGATGGCGTGAATCATGTCTGTAAGTGCCCAATAAAGATGGCTGTGCCGTCCCGCCCAAATTCCTCTCCCAGCTCTTCCCCATCTGCAGAAACTGGGCCCTCCCGTCTTTGTTACTCCCTGGCCTGGCCCCGCCTCTGGTCTCAGGGCCCATTCTTGCCGACACCTACTCCACGGCCCTTGCCAAGGCGTCTCAAGCCTCCCTCTACCAGTTGCCAGCTGTTGGTACCTAGCCTTGACCTCTCCCTTTGGACCTCTTAGTCTAGGGGGAAACTGGACAGGAAACAAGTAAATATATAACTACAAATTGTCATAAGGGCTATGAAGAAAAAAATCAGTGCGCCACGGGGAAGAATAACAAAGGTGGCCCTTTGTTCACTGGGTGGTCAAGGTAGCTGAGACCTGCAGGGCGAGGAGCCAACCTGGGAGACAAAAGGGACGTGGAGGTTTGTTCCTCTAATTCCCCTTCACCTTTTTCACCCTATGCTCCCACCCCACCCCCTCGCAACTATCAGTTTGTTCTTTGTATCTATGTGCGTTTGTTTGGCTCATTCATTTTGCTTTTTAGATTCCGTATGTAGTGAAATCATACGGTATTTGTTTTTCTCTGACTTATTTCGCTTAGCATAACACCGCGTAGGTCCACCCATGCTGTTGCAAACGGTCAACTATACTTTAGTAAACAAGGGGAGGTACAGAGAATATTTCTAGCAGAGGGAACAGCACACAGGGCCTCGAGGCAAGAACGTGCTGTGCCTCTTTTACTCTTCGAAACCAGCTAAGGTCCTTTCCAGAAGCCTCCCAGGGTTGACTCCCAGTACGTAACACAATGACTTATCCCATAGCTCTTGGGCAAACAAATCCAGCAGGAAAATGTGCATACATCCCCTTTTCAGAAGGGAGTCCTCCAGTCCATATGATACGACGTCCAGCAGAGTGGACTTGCAGTAACGTGTGCTATATGAATGAATGCTTCTTTACTAAAAATGCAGGAAAAAGTCTGGCCGGGTGTGGCTCAGCGGGTGAGCATCAACCTAGGATCCAGGAGATCGAGGTTCAATTCCCGGTCAGGGCACAGGCCCGGGTTGTGGGCTCGATCCCCTGTCAGGGGCGTGCAGGAGGCAGCCGATCAATGACTCTCCCATCATTGATGTTTCTCTCTCTCTCTCCCTCTCCCTTCCTCTCTCTGAAATCAATAAAGATATATTTTTTAAAATGCAGGAAATAGACATCTGAAATTTACTTTGAAATACATAATAATGTATTGATATATGGCTAGATGTAGAGATGTGTGATGGATGGATGTGTGATAAACCAAGCAGAGTAAAATGTTAGTGGTAGACTCTAAATAGTGGGTATGCAGGTATCCACTCTAAAGTTCATCTTTGTGCTAAGGTTGAAATCTTTTCAAAATAAAATATTGCATGGGGAGTGAAGGAACATAAGTGATAAAAACAATGATATTCTATAAGGGGAGATGCAATGAATATAAAGTGTCAGGAACATCACCTTTCTCGTGCACACCCTCCCTGGTGTGTCATTTAGTTCTTACTGATGCATTGCCTTGTATTTGCTTTCATGTTATGTGTATATGCCTTGTCTCCTCAGGAAGCCTGTAAATTCCCTGAGGGCAAGAACACTGTCTCTTTTTTGGTCCCACGAATGAGGGAATTTTGAAGCTGGAAGCAATGTTTATAGTCCTCCCCTGCCGACATGCATCCTGCTTTATATAGGAGGAAACTGTGGCCCCTAGAGGGGAAGTAAGCTGCCTACAGACACACGATCCTGATGGGAATGTAGGTCTCCCAGCAGGTTCTGGCAATAGAAAGTCCTGCTGCTTTCTCATGGGCCCCTCTGAGCCTCAGTTTCCTTATCCATACAATGGGGATCATAAGAGGACTTCTGCCTTTGGGTTGGGGGAGGTTTAAAAGGCTACAGAGCATGAACAGCTCTTCACAGAGGACCTGGAACCTTGCAAGAGCTCAGTGTACAGTAGTTGCTATGACAGTTCCACGGGCTTTGAGTCATCCACAGATCTGAAAGCTGGGCCTCCCGAGTCACCATTCCTGTCTTCGTGAAGCTCTCTCCTGTCATCGGTGTGCCTTTGGTCTTCCTCCCCGAGAGAGGGTCTCGAAGGTGCCTCTCTCCTCTCTTCTTATTCACCAATTCCCACAGCTACCGACGCCAACCAAGGAAAGACCTCTTTGTTTCCAGAACACCCCTTGCGGCTCTGAGGCTGTTTCTCCCTCCAAATACCAGCTATATGACCTTGGTGATGTTTCTTAACCTGTGTGAGCTTCTACATGCTTCTCAATAAAATGGGGCAATCAGTCTTACCTAACTGCGTGGTTGGGAGGCTTCAGCGATGCCATGAGCGAAAAGCCCCCGTCAGCGAGCCTGCAGGCCCAAATTGCGGAACAAGTCCAAGTAGTTCATTGTTATTCCTATGGTGCAACGCCCCGAATGATGATGCTATGAGGCGGTTCCTGCCATCTCTCCCCTGGTGTTTTGCCCCCACCACTGGCCTGAAGTGGCTTTCCCTTCATGATGCTCCTCCCAGCGCTGACCACGACCCTTCACACCAATGAAACTTGGTTTGTCCCTGTCACCACCTTTAGATCTGACCAGCCTGAAACCTCCAGCCCACCCTCCAGCAAAGACGCAAGAAAAGACAAGCCTCCCCCTCACGCCTCTCCTTAGGGAACATGCGGACCATGGTGAGAGTATGTTGTGTCACATTTATTCACAAATCTCAATACAGTTCCCTTAAAGGACTCCTGAAACCTACAACCCTCCCC